GGCTTGCATTTTAAGCTTTACTAAATCGTACTGACTCAAAATAATGAAATTGTAGTTAAATGCTTGACGAAGTTATTACAGTCTATCCGTGAACATGGACATGATTATCGGTACATATACATCATATCACTGAAGGTGCAAAATAAAAACATAGTCATCCGATAGTACTCAGTTTTTACATCTTATACATGAATATGTGTAACATGCACTCAGCCGTGTATCCTTCACTCATGAAAACATAAGAATACGTACAGCCGAATAATTACAAAACCTTTATTACCTGCGCAAAGGCTAATTTGTATCAGCATTCGTCGATAAATAATATCTGTTATCTTGGTATATGCCATTATGTTAATTGTGAATTAAGTGAAATAATTATTATACTCTTTATCAGTGCCTGTGAACTCCTTTCCTATGTAATACAATTCAGTCAATACTGATAAAAATGTTGCTTGACCTTATAGTGTTTACTAAAACTTAATAAGATTAAATTTCAGTTATCATTAACGTTGCGTGATTTTACTACAAGTAATACTTTTTTATGGTTCATCAAAAGCCAATATCATCCAATAAACACTGATCTGTTTAATAATCATGCATGCAAACTTCAATAACGCATTTTCAACATTTTTCAGCTTGTTCAGTCGGAAAATATAGGCTTTTAATTATTATATAGAAACTAAACTTCAGTACAGCTAAATATCAATTCATACAGTTGACCTTATTCTCATCTAGCAGTCTTATCGACCAAAAAAATGATTGTCAAACCTAAACCTGTTAATTAGCACTTAATACTACCTATATTTTAATTACTTGTCGAATATGGTGGTTATTGAGACGTTTAACTGTTTCGGGTTTGATTTTAAAACGCTCACATATTACGAATATGTACATAGAATTTGTTGGTGTCCCTCTAATATGTTTAATAAATAAATCAAATCATTTAAAAATATGTCACTAATAAGTTGAATAAATTACTTTACGGTAAAATGCATGGCATAAAGTAAACAGTAATGGTTTAATGAACTTTAATTTTTTTATATTTCAAATGTTAAAAGTGTTTGTATTGTTATTATCAAATTAAATTGAAGATCAAAATAGTAATGTGGTATTACTGCATACTTACAAAATACTTGCTATCGACATTACGCAAAACAAACCTAACCGTACACTTCCCAAGCACAATAACTGACACTTGCATACACAGATAGGTTTTCTTGTCATAATTATATACAGGTCAATTACGTAGATTGTACAATGTATGGTTGAAAACAATTTTTATGTTGATGAATTCGCAAAATCACGCATCAGCCACGTATTTAACTATGGACTATTATATTCAAGAATACAATGTTTCGTTTATTGTCGATACCTTTTTAAAGCGAAATAAAATACAACCATTGTATTGAGAATTACTATTTGCAAATATCACCTATACTTAAATAATCTTCGATTCTTTCTCCTAAATTACTATTCCTTTACGAAGGCGTAAAATGTTATTCAGTCACCAATCCTTGACGTTTAGCGTGAATATTATATACCCTATACATGATCTTATAAGAATGATTTATTCATAAGTTTACACACATAGAAAGATCATTACAAGCTCAAACAATATGTCAAAATAGTTCAAGAAAACACTAAAATAGAAATCTATTTTCTCCTTGTACACTAAACACTTTATTGTATTCCAATTTCAGTAATTACTATTATAAATACAAGTGTGTGTCATATTAAGCCAAAAGTTATCAGTTTTTCACAGGTTACTTTTAATAACGTGTATGGTCTTTCTCTTGTCACGACAACTGATGACTTCAGTCCCATGTTTACGTGATCCAAAAGAAATTTAATCCCACTTTTTATCACAATATCTATACACAGCCAGGAGTATATTATGTTGGTCGATCAGAATTGATGTCTTTTTTCTAGAAGTTACAACTTTATGTCAAAGCGCGGAAGAAACAGACTGACAGAATCTTTTTAAAACATAAAACTTATATGTGAAAATGCGAATTTCGACATCCAATCAAACTAGTTTATGCTACTTTGGTTTGAACTCATCAGATTACAAAAATGCACAATTTACAGATAATTAACAAATTATTACAGGCAATAAAATGTTTGTTCATTAACACATGAGCACACACTTTCAAAAACAGGTCAATCAATCACTTATTTTTTTTAAATTTTTTAATCACACCCAAAATATTTTCACCATTGGGGTTCATGAATCACAACAAATGTCCAATAATTGTCAGCCCAGAAAACAAACATTTGTTTGAATGGACGTTTTCATCTATTTAACACCATAAAGTGGCAAAAACTATTCCCCATGAATTTTAATATTAATTGGGAAAAAATAAAGAGGTAACGAATACTTTCCGATGTATTGTTAACAGAATAAACTTATCAAAAACGATGAGGATATTAGTCTCTTATGAATAAATTAATTTAAACTATGATAATAAAGATTTCACAATCAAATCTGAACTCACAGACAAAATCAAGTAGTCATTGTCTCAATTAGTGGACTAACTGTCTTCATAACCCCTGAAACATTTATGGTGTCCCTATAGCAATAAAAAAGAATAAGTGAGACTTTCAATAGCACTATACTGTCTGTACCCACTTCGTAACTATGATTCTTTCTATAAGCTTGATTATCCTCATACTTGCCACATCTTTACCCTTATACTGTTCGGTCAAGAGTAAATATATGTCAGTTTGTAAACACACAACACTAGAAGTGTATTGGCACATTCAAATCAACCTGATTACAATTCAAAAATAAGGTGGTTCTATATTCACTTTTCTGAAGGAAAACAGTAAATCCTACATTAAGACTGATGTGGAGCTCAAATTCACGTTTTAGTTGGTAATTCTGATATACTCGAAAGTCAGTATATTAAGAAGTAAATTAGATGCCATTTATGTATATTAATATACAGAACAAAACAATAACTATTCTTCGACATTTCATACAGACTGATGACTTTGTAAATGATGTTACACCTAGTACATACTGGGAATAATAGATTACAAATCTCCTGTAAACGTCATGACAGTTAAATTGACATCATGGTAAACGGTATTTAATTTCATGTGACTAGATAGATTTACGAACGAGTCTTGCTTAATTTTGTGCTTTCTTTTATATCGATCAACACAAATCATTCAGGTTTGGCTTCCGTATCCAAGCAATTCATTCTTTACGTTAATACTCGAGTAGACGTCTTACGAATCCTCCAGTAAAAGACGCTAAATTTGTCATCTTCAAGTTATATCAGATACACGATGAAAGTATATAAAAAATTGCATTTCAGATGGCAACATATATAATACTTCAATCTCCAATTTGGTTTGCGACGGAGATTAATGAAGCCAAAAATCTAAGCATAAAATAAAGAGGGATTTCTTTTGTATGTTAAAATATACAAATTTCACTTTTCTAATCATGCACCTAATACGCCTCTACTTTTTTTCTTCCCACATATGATTTGTGTCAGAATCAGTTGAAAGTAGGTTTATTTGCCTTCACTAAAAGTGGAGAATTTTACGAGATAAAGAAATTAGCTTCGTGCCAACAGTGATATATTCGTTAATGTGAATGAAGAAACATCGCTATCCACCGAAGATTACACTCGTTAGATCTATACATAAAAACTGACCTGGAATATTCAGTACACAAGTTTCCAGATTGGTTAGAAAGAGAAACCTAATTCGCTCTTTATCCCCATGGACTAGATGAATATGTTACAATGACACAATAGATGACGAACTACTTCATCTTCGACAGATACTCATCAGAAATAGTTACCCGCCTAGATTTGTCGATAGAAATTTAACACCAAGATAACATCCTGAAAAAGTACTGACATTTCAAAAGAAAACTCTTTTTATGAGTATCGAATTTAAAGAAGATATGGCTGCCGAACTCTTGAATAAACAGATTTCAAAATCCCTGAATAAAACCATATGTTCAGCTAGGCTTCGTAACGTCTCCTCAAGCCGGCCCACTATTCACGGATGTGATGAGGATAAACTTTTGCTTTGGACCACATCAGTATGCGTCTATAAATTTACTTGCTCCTGTGGGTCAGATTACATTAACCGTTCAAAGCGATCCCTTTCCAAACGCATCTCAGAACACTACCCGTAGTGGCTTTTAAAAGGAGAATGCTAAACGATCACCAGTTCAATACAGGAGCATCTAACTAATGTTTTGTAATCTTAAACAGTAATCAGTTACTATTATCCTTTAACAATTTCCTATGATTATTACCCAGTTATTATTATGACCTTTACGTTTTTCATTTTTCTTCATATCTGTCAAAGGGACAATTATCTTCCATAATTCTGACCCGTAAATTATTTTCATAGACCTATTCTTCTCCAACCCCTTGATTATTACGCAACGTCAATTGAAATCTCGAATCACTTTGTGATGCAGTCTTTTCTATTTTTCTATGGATATATATTTACCAAACAACTGTAAATAAGAATATGCAGCTTGAGTAAATGATTTCATCGAAAAGAACATTTCCCTCACTGAATTCTCTTTTTTTTATATGACATGGCTTTTGTATTTGTTCAAATTGTGTTTTAAATTATCGTGCTACATCAAATTACATGTTGCTAAGCCATTAAACTTCGTTCAGGCAAAAGAGTCTGTATTCTGCTATTTCAAGTGAATTATAATCTCGTTCCAAGGGCTTGGGGAATTACGGCTATACAAAGCCTCCGAACCGTGATATTTATTGCAATCAATTTAATGTAATCAAAATGAAAACCAAGCAGGTATGAAAAAATATTACTCTTATGCCATTTATTATTTTCTGGTTGGCTCTTAGGGTGAGAGAAAAGAATACGGGAATGTGGGTGTATAGTCACGTGAATTATTTGGTGATTGGTTTAAACTCACAACTTGCATTGAATGTCTAACTGTGTCTATTAAGCACTTTGATATAGTCAGACCAGGTTTGGCCAATAGTAGATGAAATATCAGGTAGGCGTTTAAAGAGTCATACAAATTGCTTTGTGTATGAGGCTAAGTATATTTTGATCGGTATTATCAGTAATATTGTATTGACTACGCGTGCATGCAATTTGGGAAGTATTTTTAACCGATGTCTGCATACGATCCATTCAGTATTCATAATGGAGGTACTCATACTTTCAATGGGACAGAAACTATCAGTCGGATGGTGGTGGATGGAAATTATATTGATGGATCTTGGGAATTATCTGTTCGCGTTGAAGACATAAACACAAATGTTTCAGTACGTGTTTCGGGTGATCTGCCACTGGGTGGTTTGATGCATCTAATTGTCGAAAAAGTGAAGTTACAACAAAGTTGGTCAGATCATGCAATATGGTGGGTCGATAGAAATGTATGGCTTTTGCAGAGCCGGACAACATTGGATCAATATGGAATTCAGTCGGATGCTAGATTGGTGTTTCATCGTATGCATAACGATGTTCAAATAGTTTTACCCTCTTTAACTCCTCTAGTACTTCGTGTCAATTATGCCGCCCGGTTGTTTACTGTGGTTCGGGATATATGTAAAGAACTAAACATACGACATTCGGAGGAATTATCTTTAACACTTCCTATCACTAAAAATATGCTTAAAACAAATTGCCCATTACCGACTATTCGTCCAGGCTTGCGACGTCCTGGTTTGCCCAATCCAAGAAATGATCAATCTTCTGTTAAATCGAAGTTCCCTTCACCTGCGTCTTCAATTTATCCTACAGTTGATGGACAAAAAATTAATCCGTATAACACATTGAATTCAAATGCTGGTACAATAATGCGATTTAAATCTGATAACTCGTTAGATCAAGAAAGACTTGATTTCGCTCGCTATGCTGACTGTTCATTGAGACGTTCTGCAAAAGCAGTGTTTGCCGATCGCTGGTTAATGAAACCCAAGAATTTAGTTCAAAAAGCACGGCTGAACAGTGGATGGTTAGACTCATCTCGGTCACTTCTAGAACAAGGGATTAAACCATCATCTTTGGAACCCGATAGTCATAGTCCATCTAGCCCTCCAACTTTATATCTGTGCTTCAAATATTTCACTTTCTACGATGTGATTTTGAAATATGACGCTGTTCGTATTCATCAGCTTTATGAACAAGCTCGGTGGTCTCTTCTGTCTGGCCAGTTTGATTGTACAGAGGATGAGATGGTTGTTTTTGCCGCCTATCAGCTGCAAGCCGAGTTACAGTCTGCTGCTGTCAATCAGCACTTATGTATCACAAACTTCCCAGATATGAATAATACAAATCCTTATTCAACTTTAGGTGCTTGTACAACTGTGAGTTCTAATTATGTAAATCGTAGTCCAGTTCATGCTACTTCGAGTCCCGACTTGGCAAAAAAGCACTATCCGCTTTATAATAGTGGTGGGTCAGTTTCACAGTTACCTCGGAATTTATCTCCAATCAGTTCAGCTTTGGTGGATGAAATACCGAGTAATGTACATAACGTAGGTGGTGTAGACGAAGTAGATGAACTCCTGTCAGAACTGGAACAATCGTGTGGAGTCGCCGACGAGTCTGAACCAGTATCACGTACTCTACAAAATGCGATTCGACCAACTGGCCATGATATGACGGATACTTCTGAAGTACCTAGTCTTGAAGGTTCGATTAAAGTATTCCGAGATCGCTCTCGCCTCCTAAAACGTTACAAAGCGTACTGGGCTGTTATTGTAGAAGCTCGTCTGTATTTATTCAAAAATAAAACACAAACAAAAGAATGCTTAGCTGAGTATTCACTTCGCGATTGTACAGTCAGTTTTGATGTGAGTGTTGCACATCAAAAGTACATAATCAAACTATCAGTTCCTTCTATATTGGATCAAAAGACAAGTAATGGTTCTCCTCTCACTCCTTCGGGTAACTCCTCTACACCTAGGGAATTATGCTCTACGCGAGAAGAAATATGGTTGAAGTTTGATTCAGGTGAACAATATGCTTGTTGGTTAGCTGCATGTCGTCTTGGTTCTAGGGGGAAAACATTGGCAAGTAAGGTAGCCTACAGTAAAGAAGTTGAAGCTACGTTAGAATTACTCAAACTTCAGATGCCTGGACCATCTCCAGCTATGTCACTTTCAGAATCTACAGCCTATTTGGGTGATTTGACAGATTTCTGTAATGAACGTATTATTCGAAAGGCACGTTCTAAAGATACTCTAAGACAACGTATCACTGAAGCTCATGTAAACATTCGTGATCTTGGTTTATTAGAAGCTAAATATAAATATATTCAAACCTGGCAACGACTGACTGAATTCGGTCGAAGTTACTTTATTGTACAGTTTGAACGTGGGTTACTAGGATTGCCAAATACAAATAGTGGAGGGTTATTCAGTACTCCAATGGATGACATTATAGCCATCTGTCAGGGTCGTATTGAGGTTGTTTCTCCACAAACAGGCGAAGTTTTATTAACTTGGAATTTTTCTGATCTACGTTCATGGAATGTTAATTGGGATGCTGAAAAAGTCATTTTAGAGTTTCGCAATTCACAGGTAACATTTCGACCATTGTCGACCAACTGTAAGACAATCGTAGAATTTATTGGTGGGTACGTATTTCTTAGTCAGCGCAATTTAGAAAAAAGTCAAGAAGTTAATGAACGTCTATTTCATCGCTTGACTGGTGCAAATGATTGAATTCCTGATTTTTTGTTAATATCTAGAAATAACATATGCTGTTGCTTAATTTCAAGTTTGTCACTTTCACACTCACTTTATTGTCGCTTCCAACAAAGGGAAATCCGAAAATATTTTGGTGACTTTTACATTCTCAGTACTATCAGTTCATTTGATTAGACAAGCGCAGGATTGGATTTATATTCTATTTCAAAGACTGCTATTTTCTACATAAATTCTCAAGTAAGCTATTACCTTCATTATTATCTGGCACTGCTAAATGTGAGATTTTTTTTATTGCTGCTATCGTTTAATCACCATTATTATCGTTATTGTTATAACTATTATTATTATTATTATTCATTTCAAATTCTGATCAATGATTGAAGCTTTTTCTGTGTCCACTTCTCACAGTTGAATTTATTCCGTTTTTTTCTTCTCCAGTTTAACTGTCAGTATTACCACTGTACATTGAACAAAGTACTATGTGGAATTTAAATAATAGTATTAAATTCTAATAATTATATTCCATTGTCTTTCAGAATAAGCTTTGCACTTTTCTGTAATTTTAAATGTTGCCTTATTGATTTTATGAGTATACTATGTTTGTGTTTATATATCCATATGTGTTTTTATGTCTATCGTATTTTAAAGGCGATACCTATGCATGTATATGGATGAATTAATCTATCGTTTAGCAGCCGCTATTTTTAAATTGCTTTCTTTTGCAAGCATTTCTCCATTTGGCTATATGTTGGTCTGTTCGATACAAGTAGTGAAGCAACGTCACTAACACTATCCTACTAAATAGAAAAAGTAATTAATGATTAATTTATTATTAATTTTTCTCATTAACATACTAATGTATTTTTATTTACTTTAAATGGACAAAAATGACTGACTCCTTTTTCTTCAAGCTTTGGAAGTCAGCATATTTTGCTCTTGGATTTTAGTTTATGTTATGGTGGTTTTATGCGATAATCTTGTGTATTTTAATATGGTAATATTGCTATTGATATTCTTACATATATTTGCTATGGTATTCGGATTGTTTTAAAATAAAGTAAGTCCGGAAGATTATACTCAATTTTTTCGTTCTATTATCGTTTCAGTGGAAAATCAGTTCGTCAATGGGTTTCTTAACATATATTTAATTGATTTCGATAACGAATATGATATTTATCTGTGTTTATGCGGTTGATTTGTGTAGAATTGTTCGGTATGTCATAAAAACATGAATGTCACTTAAGACTTGTAGATTAATGGGAAGATATGAAGTATCCATATTTGTATTTCGAACAAACATGTGGACAAATATTCTTCATAAAGCTTATAGGTTTATCTCTTACCAATAGACCTCTCGTTTTAGCACAGTTGTTATCATGTCCTTTCAAGGCTTTCAATGTTAACATCTGGATGTGTATGATAATTTTTGTAATAGTGCGTAAAACGAAATTAGTTAGTTGTAGACCAACTTTTTAAAAGTCTACTTGGAGATCTTCACAGTTGCATTTTTCATATACTTTGTTGTTCATCTGTCTTTGAATTTTCCTGCTGGACTGAATACGAAAGACGTTGAATATTATGATGATTGTATTCGGTAGGCTCCATCCTATCGTTTTTGGGTTGTTTTGAAGATTTCCAAGAGTTGAACTTTTGTTCCTATGGCTTCCTAGTAATGTAAACTCCATAAGGGCTTCAATAAAGTTCTCTATTCGGTAAATCCATTCACAAAATTTAGCATTTTTAACCTTTCATACAGTTCGTTTTTTTCACCATCTATACAGATCGATGACAAAAAATAACAGATCATGTTTTAACCTCCTACAATAGGGAGTAAATGATTTGTCATTATTGATTTTTCCTTCATAATCTAACTCGACCGTTCGACACTGCAGACACTATTTTGGTACAGTCTGTTATCTGTTTATCTGAATAGTTCATTCTAAGGTAAAACTAAGTCATCTATTATCTGTTGATTTTATTCTGTCTTATTTTGATCAGGGTATCCAATGCAACTAACTTATTAATAGTGACTCAGCGTTCATCAGTGATTAGCTTCAAGAATTACCTAAAGTTCTAGTGAAAAACCATGACCTTTGGGGTCAGTTCTGATGGGAACAGGAGTGGATGATGGTCGCAACATATTACCAATTGACTAAAATTGATTAGCATGTATTTATTTCAGTTTTATAGCTCAGTGTTAACTTGTTCGTCATGAAGCCCAAAGGTTCTGTGTTCGATACTATATTGGTTTGAGGGTGTATCCTATTGAGATGTCTTGTATTAGGACACGACAATTGTCCAGTGTTTATCAATTCTTGGTGTTTTTCCAATTCATCTCAATACATGAAAACTGGCCTCAGAAACAATTGAATCAGTTTTGACAGTGATAGACAATGGAATAAAAGAAATTTACCTCCTCTTTAGGTAACGTTATCATTTTTTGGTAATAATATTCTAACTCAATATTCTTTCGTGCTAATCGCAATAAGTTATCTAAATGGTTATCAAATTATGGATTTCCTACTCATGATGAACTAAAATATCTATTAAACACGGGTTCAAAAGTTGCACCTACGGTCGTGCTTAAATTTATATTGGAACGATCACTAAGAAAAATACTCCAGTCCATAAAGTATGTCTGAAAATCCACAATATCACTTGCAGGAACTATCTTCTCAATAGGCTTTTAACTATGTAGTCGTATGACATGCCACCTGTCACACTGATTGCAACATCTACTATTATTTGCTAACATTCTGCTAACCTCAAGAAGTTTTATGAGGTGAACGTCTTGTGATTGCTTTTTTACGGTATTCATCTGTTGTGGGAGTTACATTTGAGGATTCACAAGTAAAGCGTGAGGATTAATGCCAATGATCTCTAGAATGGCAAGGATGTGAACTCTATTTTACGCTGCCATACTGCAGTTACATCCAAATATCTTCGCACAAATGGAGACTTGTTCAAACTGTGGCTTTTATTTTGAAATTACTCAGTGTTTTGGCAACCATTTTTAGTTGTATATTTTATTGGTAGCTAGTGCTAATAATAAGTCAGAATGATAATCAAACTATTCATTTGACTATTTTTCATTCTCCTTCAGTGTTTATTTGGTTGCCTACCTACTCTTATTGTGCCAAGATTTTTGGGTGTTGCCTCTCTCTCTATATATATACATATATATATAGAGAGAGAGACATTTTAAGCGGTATTTGTTACTTATGGTAGTTGGTAGGATAGACGTATGGCTAGGTCATTGATTTTTCATCTTTAGGCTGTGAATATATGTTTTACGGCCTTCAGATTACTTGATTATCCATCATATTATTTGTTTATTATTTTAGTGTTAACCGTTTGTGTGCGTGCGGCGTGTATTTTGAAGTGTTGTTTTTTAATGTGCATGTATGTGTTATAAGTGTACATAATTACTACGTCTAAAAAGATACACAGTAACAAAAAATTACTCAGCATTTTAAATAAAAAGCTTACTAGTTGAAGAAAGCATTAGAGAAAGATCTTATAGATAGTTGTGTTTATCCTGTCTTTACCTTTTCCAGGTACAGTGGTTCTTAACTCTTTCGAGATTTAGAATCAGCACTTCATAGCTCAAGGTTGTTCTAGAATGAAAATCAACGGTCTAAATACAGTTATGAAATAGCTCCTAAAATTTCCTGTTATAGTAGACTACTGAATGATTGTCGGATAAATCAATACCTAATTGGAATGTGTGAGACATTAGATATTTTCTAGGTCAATATTACGAGAAGTAAGACGTTTTCCCTTGAAGATTATTGAAGTGTAAATTTCATTCAATAAGGTATTTCACCTAATAGTTATGGTCCGTTCTCAATGCTTTCACGTAAATCATACATACCTGAGGTAAAATGGTATTGATTAGAACAAAAAACTCGCTTTTATAGTTTTTTAACATTAGTGAGTCATAATTCTTTTTTTAATTAGTATTCATTATCCTACGTAGTGAACTAGGCTACTGTTGCGATACTCAGGCCGAAACAGGTATTTTTATCAAGGGATTAATCTTCGATCATTTGACCTAAGGATCTGATTCAAATGGCAGTGGAGCAACAACAGAAGATTCAGTCATTCGTTCCCTCAAGATCCTGGAGCTCATGTTTACGCATAGTTTATAATCAAGGTTTTTCAACCCTTAGGTAAACCCTGTGTGTCCACCAGATTTACAATTTCCATCATCTCATTTCCCTAGAAAAATCCCCACCATGTGAAGGCAATGAGTAGTACTTCTGTGGCAGATGGTGGGAACCCGTCACCGTATAAGAGCATTTTGAAGAGAGCGGACTATTTCTACCCAAATCCGTACTCTAGCATTTGAGGCCAGAATGTAAGTTGGTAATTCAAATAACTTACTAATGGAAACACTTTATAGAGCGTGTTTAGATATTGGTACGGTGTTTCAGCGGTGTTAAGGTTGGTCAAGCCTTATCCGGTGGAACCGAGTGGCTTTTCTGGAAATAATTTTCGTTTCCCAAGGCTCACAAACCCATTGAGGGGTTTGGTTTTGTAGCGTAATTGTTACTTCCAGGTCTTGGTGCGCAGGTATCGCACCAGGGGCAAGTATAGTTTACATAGATATCCGTAACATATAAGTTTTCACCCATGCATCCCTTGGTATACTCATAGGTGCATTTACCATGTGAGCAAATATACGCCACATGCACACCGGTAACATACATGTTTTCACTCATGCATCCCATAGCATACATATAGGTATATTCACCCACCCAGTAGGGTAAATAGTCACCGCTCCCTTCGAATGTATTTGCTACAGCTGACTGTTACTTACATGTTACATGTATATCACTGGTACAAAGGCTTTCTCCATTGCACTTTATGACATACACATGAGCATAAACATATTTTTTCATTGTCTTCGACCTGAAGGATTAGGCCGCCGATTTTACTTGAGATAAGGCATAGATTTTTCAACCAACGTTCCTTGTGCTAACCTACTCGTGTACCCTTTGTATATAGCTGGGTACATGAACCCCAAAAGCCGAGGCTCATGCAATTTATATACCTAAGCATACACATCAATTAGCCCGTAAGATTTAAGAGAGCCTCGTAAATGGAACCCAGATAACTCGGTTTACAACAGTGGTGGATTAGTCTGATCTCACCGACCGCCCAAATTAGCCAGCTCGATTGCCCTCACTATCCAGCAGTGCCAGTCTGAGGCTTTGAGTCGGATTTCGCTGCCTTGCCATTGGTATGTTTCTTTATATCCTATTTGAATCAAACCAAACAATAATCAATATCCTTAGGTCTCCACACAGACACGTTTCTGTAAATAAGTTTCCATAGAGTTCCACTATTGTTATATATACTGTTATATATTTCAACTGATATCAGTCGCAAATATCTTTTTAATATTTTCTGAATTTTGTTTATAACTCTCTTTCTGCACTTGATATTGTTAGAGTACTTGTTTATTTAGTAGGTATTTTCACAGGTTTATTATAAGAGAATAAAAATGTTTTGAACTTGCTAAATGACTTAATATGTAGACTTGTGTAGACTAAGATAAGTTCCCATTCAAGAACTGATTTTTAATTAAATCGATATATAAATTAGGTTTTCATGAATTAAATGTGAGCTAGATATATATATTTATAGCTGTATACAAATATACAACAGGAAACAGAGCATTTCAGTGGTTTAATTTACTAACTGTGACCATTTGATACTTATTCATTACATTTATAAACTTTTTCAGGCGTAAGTAGGAGTAATCTATGAAAGTTTATAAATATTATTGTATTAGGTGTAGCTTTGATTTAGGACATAAGTACTGGTAAACATGTATCAATAGCGCTTAATTCTTACTATGGGAGCGTAGTACGAATTGAATCCTTCTATACTCTCTGATTCTTAGTGTTGGAGATACAAAATACACATCTTCGGGATTGTGAAAATGGTCATATATTTCCGGTTTTTGAAGATGCTATGATCATAATCCATGTCTCGAAAATATACTGTTAGATGGTCATTTTTATACAGAGGCTTTGAACTACACTGGCGAGGATCAGGTAGTTCGTTTTGATGGTTTAAATAGTTTGATTTCCTTCAAACTTGGCCCATTTTAACTTTAGTGAAGTCATAGACTAGTAAAAACTGCACACGAAGTCTCACAGTTTAGTCTGTACCTAACTGTAGTTTACAGATTTGGCAAAATATTTGTAGTAATTTCATTGAAAACCGTCATTAAGATATTTCGAAACGCATTTTCAATGAAGGGAATAATACTATGACTTTATAGGCTATGGTCCACAAGCTCTTCAAATAAGGTACCCGTTCTAACCCGAGTTTTCTCCCAACTTCTTAGCAGATTAATTGTTGGATAGTGAAAAGGGCTAGAGATATCCAGTGAAGTTTTCTATCGTTTTTGTATCTTCCTTTCTTTTTTTTATCTTGTTCTGCTAATTCTCACTCTAAAAACTGAAATGATACATTACGTTCTTATAGTTCTATGTTTTTTTCCAATTGGTATCGTACACTAGCTAATGAAGATATCCTTTTGGGGAGTTCATTTTCACTACTACACAACCACAATTTCATATCCTTCCTAAAACACTTTCCATAGTTTCAATAGACATAATTAACTTGGTAAATAGCTAAAAATTTGTAAGCCTTTTTCAACGCTTTTAATTTTGAAATTCATTAGACTGGTAACATTCTTAAAGTAGGTCTATATAAAAACTTCAAATGGTCGCTATTTTCAGCCTCATTTGTACGAAAGTTCATGGGTGCGTATTGATGAAGTTCTAGAATGAAAAAATCAAACAAGTGACTTGATTTTTATCCAGTTGTTCAGTTTATAGGAAAAACCTTTGTTGTTATTTTGAATGTACACTGAGGTTGTGTTTTGTTAGAAGCAAAATGAATGATTTCTGTTTCTTTATTGAATCATATTCTATTTTTTGTTAATTTGGAAACAAACTTATCATAGCGTGTTTTCCAAAAAAAATCCTATTTAATGTTCATCATTTTAACGTATTGTTGATTGGTTTTCTGACTTATCTTTCTCTCATTCTTCCAATAAATTGACCAATAGATACCCACACTCATAAAACAAGGACAGGGTTAGCCTACTTTATTTTAGAGACATGTTTTTATTTCCTTAAAGGTTAGGGTCAACGTAAATTTTTCGGTCTTGACGATTTATCGATGAACTTTCTTCATTGTTGGGGCGAACAATATACTTGTGCTTTGGAATATAAATGTCAAGTTCATTGTGAATGGGAAAAAAATTATTAGATCTTTTGCATTTTTGTTACTAAACTGAGAAAGATACTTAACAACTCGTATCTGTTACATCCATGACGAACACTAGTAATTTGTTTATGTGGGTATTTAAGAATTTTTGAAACAAAACAGCAAACGACTTA